TATTATTATTATTATTATTATTATTATTATTATTATTATTATTATTAATTATTATTATTATTATTATTATTATTATTATTATACACAAAAAACAACAGTGTACACAGCAAACAAGTTAACTATGCTGGATTTCGTATCACAAATCTCTAGTTGAACATTTCCCAAGTGTTTAGGACTGCGTGATGTATCGGCAGATTATGTGAGCAGATCCCAGTAAGGTGGCCTTCTGCAGCTGACCAATAGTGATTTTGTCAACGCCAATTGCTTTTAAGTGCTTGCCTAAGTCTTTAGGCACAGCACCCAGTGTGCCGAGTACCACTGGAACCACCTGTATTGGTTTATGCCAGAGTCTCTGCAGTTCAATTTTCAAGTCTTGATATCTGGTGATTTTTTCAAATTGTTTCTCATCGATTCTGCTGTCACTAGGTATGGCAATATTGTTGTTGTTGTTATTATTATTATTTGCAGAGTCAACTAGATTATTATTTTGTATCACCACAATTTTATATAATTGCTGTTTGCCACCGAAAAGTCATTTTGTCATATGTTTGGAGAACCTTCCATACAAACATGAGTTATAAATTCAGTTCCCTCCCCGCTTCCCATTAGAAAATATGCTGCTTGATGGGCTACCAAATCATCATAGCAGAGAGATTTCACAGTTGGCTAATAGCCTCACGATGGCTTCACAATTTGGAATGAAAACATTTTCTATATGATTCATCTTCGGGCCTTTACTTTTATTTTATGCTAAACAATTTCTAAGAGTTGGAAGAGTCAGAAACAGAGATCATTTAAAGAAGCTTTATTTGTTGCCAACGAATGCCTCTTTAAATGATCTCTGTTTCTGACTCTTTGGATTCTTAGAAATTACTTAACGATAATTTCTGTTAATCTCTCAGAAGAATTTTCTTTACTGACTAAACTGAGATGGAAAAACCACACAGCATCACACTTCCTGTTGTGCTCTACAGAGAAACTAGTGATAACACTTTACCAGTTTTGCAGCTGATCAAGCCCACTGTGTAGAGGGCCTCCAATGCAAGCAATTTGTTGCCGTCTCTTCCAGTCCAATAACTCTTCTATTAATACATTATTCACCAAGGCATCAACCTCCCTTACTATTTGTGCCATTTTACTGAGAACTTCCTATAAAGAACAGAATAGATAATGTAGTTAGAAGCAGTAAGTAAGAATTCATAAATGGAGAAACAACAATCCGATTTGTATAACAACCTAAGCTGTGATATTCTTTAGCTTAATTTATATCCATGGCTTGCTGTTGCTTAATTTATCACCATCCAGCATCAAAGCAGTGGTTAGTTTAAGAAACCATTTGTCTTCCAAGAAAGCAACCTGAGTACAGGAGTAGCTACAAACCAAAGCTGCTTGTATAAGTATTGCTTCTGCTTCTTTAACTTTATTTTAAACTTTAACTACTAATGCTTTGAAAGGAGACACATACGGGGAAAGACAAGCCATTCAGCCTTCCACAAATGTGTATGTGAGGCCCCCATCCCAAGTAGGACCATGGAGGGCCTTTTTATTATTACATTTTAAAAAAAACCAGTCAGAAAGTGCTGCCCAGTCAGACCATTCACCACAAACTTTGCCAAGAGACTAACTGAATCCAGAGATCTGCATTGGCTCTCACCTTACTGGCCTTCAAAAACTCCAACCTTGGTTTAGGGTGATGGGGGGGGGGTCTTGTGTGTTTTGCTCCTTTGGGTGAGGAAGAACAGAGTTGGCTGTTTTCTCTCTCTCTCCAGATAACACCATCTTCTCAAGTTTTATTTTGAGGCTTTAACTTGCCAAATTGCATTGCATACAACTTATTTCTTGAGTATCTTGATTCTCATGACCTAACCTTTTGAAACAATGACTGCCAACTGTAACTGATACTCTCATTTACCAAGTATTCTGTTCAGCAACATTGGAAGTAAGAAAGATCAGGTAACATTTTGCTTGTAATATCTAAAATTGACTGCTGTCTATATTGAATGTTTGAAATAAACATGTACATACTGTTCTATTGCCAGGACCAAGCAGACTCGAAGACCGGAGTTGAATTCAGCTCTTTATT